TCTTTGAAAGGCAGATGCTCTTGGCAATTGTCTGACTCTTGAGTTTAGCTCCACTGAGCTAAACAACCAGGAAGGAACAGGACTGGACCTGTTGTCAGATTGAAAGCCAGGGGCTGTATCAAAGTTAAATTTATAAATGTGCCAATTTCTATTAAAATGTTAAAGTGCTCTAGAGGTCTGAAGTGTCCCTTTAACTTTTGCTGCACTACTCAACCCACTAAGTACCTCAGTACTATATTGGGGTGAGGGCAGGAGGATTTGTTATGGTCAATGAAGTGACATTTCAAAGGCATTTCCTGGACCTGACTATTTCCTTAAATTGCTTTTAGCTTACTGCAGGTAAGGTATTCTTTAGATAGCAAAACTGATTTATTTATTTATATATATATATATATATATATTTTACATCATTTCCTTAAAAATTCTAATTACCTTTTGAATAGATCTAGCTATTTAGTACATATCTGAGCCCTTAAGCATGTACCCCAGCTGTTTATTTTGGTACATGTCAGTAACCATTTTTTTTTTTTTATCAATTATTCTAGCATGTTAAACCTGAAATGCTACTTAAATATGTGCTTAAGGGACACATCCTCATTGCTAATCAAGAACTTTTCCCAGAGTGTAAAAATGTATAAATAGTTTTATAATACGCAGAAGGTAATGTAAATGAAGTTAGAGTATGTCTTGACTTCTGTATTTCCTTGTGTACATGCAAATTTGTCATTTTAAAGGTTCGACTGTATTACTGGGTCTGTCGGTTTTATTTCCTCCTGTCTGAGTTTTACAACTTGAGTTGCCCATGTAATGTTCTGTAATGTCTCCTCTGACATGGAGAGGTTGGACAAAATAACCTGAACTTCACTTAAAAATATGTTTAGCACTGCACAGGTAAAAACATATTAATAAATGTTATTTATTATTTTTTTAAATGTTGTACAGTTGAATTTTCAAAGCAACATAATACAGTGTTCCGGAGACATCCATTGTCATCACCTATATTGCTAGTGTATTTGTCTAAATTTGACAGAATTAGTTTGTGTGTGTCAAGGTAGGTGAACAGTTGCATACATAATGACAAGCAAATGCTGCTCATGTAGAAGCTGTATCCTCAAATAAGAACATTTTTGGTAGATTGTATGTAGCTCACTGACAGAGAGGAATGGACACTACATCCCTCTACAATAACTACATGAACCTCAGACAGCTGGATTTCATGGCAGGGTTATAATTTGTTAACTGCTGGCATCCAGCTAAAAAACCAAAGATGCATACTCGTGGATACCGTAGGTTTTACAAATCTATCGCTGACTAATGAAAAACTTATAATTATAAAATAAAGTCATCTTTAAGTGTACAATTATAAAATTAATATTTAATTAACATCCTGGATGTTTCCATAATCCACAGTGAAAATGCCTCCATACATGATACTTAACAAACGCAATGGTGGTTTTGTGTAAGACAGACGCGTTCCATGGCTTCCTTAATTACCAGCTTTAAACATCTTGGCACAATAATGGGAAGTTGTAAAGCAAGAATAAGCAGTATATTGCGATGATTTCTTGAGGAAATGGTGCATTGTGCCATTACACCTAGATCAGGACTTGTATGACAGTATTCCAAGAAAGCTGTTCTAAATTCAAAGTGTGACTGTATTTCTATATACATTTTAAAATAGTTAAATCTGTCGCTGTTAAATTGTGTGATATATGACTTCCTTTTAAACAGTATTTATTTTTTGCAGCAGTTGCTACACAATTGCAGCATCATAAAATCACTCTATTTAATGGCAGCAAAATCTTAACGTTTTAGTGAATCCCTTACTCCTCATTAGGTCCTTGATATTAATCTGTTGTCGAGTGTTTCCATTATATTGTTTATCCTCTACACTTGTATAGATGGATGAATATATAGAGAGAGAGAAAACCAAAAAAATACGTTGAACGAGTCTTTTCTCTAACTTTTTTTATGTATATGCACATTAATTGTGGTTGACATATGAGAAGATCTAGAACCGATATGTTCTGTATTTTTCCTTATTTAGTATAGTGCTGGCAAAGCTTTAATATTTTCAGTGCTTTCTTTTGCCTAAAAAATGGTACCACCACTGCTATGTTTTGCAGATTATATATATGTGTTTGTGCATAAACCATAATAAACTGGAAGTTCTGTAATTCTTATATGTAAATTTATATAAAAGCCTATTTGTTTTACAACACACGAGAAAGGTTTGGCAGGAATATTATTGTAAATTGAGTGTCTGGCTCTGTGAAAATGAGCTACTGTGTGCAGGTCCACATTTTAATACTTCTAGATAGCACTACTCTTACATTGCCTTAGTTTACAGTCTTTTAAAGATATTTTATTGCTTATTTAAAACTAAAATCAAACATCTTAGGGGATTTTGTTTTTCATATTTAAAGTGGCACAATCACTAGATTTTTTTTTTTTGGAGAGGGGGGTAATTTATTTATTTTTATTTTATAGACCCCTGTATGTCCACTTTCTTGGTGGCGACTGGGGTATAAGTAAGAGAGGTATCCGATGCTCTCTTCATTAACAAAACCATGTTATTGTACCGCATGTATTCATTTTCACATGGCTTCATCTGCTAGCAGACCATGCTACTCCTATATTGTTCCACGTACACAAGAGCACAAACCTATCTGTGTAAGGTCCTGCATGGCTGTGGTATCCTCCATAGATTTTTCACACATCCACCCTAGGTATCCATATTAGAAGATGTCCTATAGACTGTAAGCTCGTTTGAGCAGGTTCCTCTTCAACCTAGGAGAAGATAGCAGAACAGTGGAGGCCGTAAGGCGAGAGTAACAATGAAAAGGAGAGGATGCCCTACCTTTAATACTTCTAAGGATGAAAGAAGAGCGGGTAAAAAATTTGTATAGATGGAGAATTACACTTATTGTCACGGCTGCTAGTGTGGTCCAACACGCAGAAACTATGTAAACATATACATAAAAAAAGGAAGGAAATAAAAGGACCGAGTGTAAACTGGACCTTAGAATGGCCGGACTAATACACTAGAGATAGAGAATGGTCAAAGGGAAAGCCGAGGTCAAGGAAGCCAGAAATACTCAGATACCATTTAAACAAGCCAAGTCAGGGGAACCAGAATTCAGAATAACCAGGGAAAAGCCAAGATCAGGATACCAGGAAGTCAGATTCACAAAGATAAACGCACTCTTGGGAACCAAGAACAATGCCCAGAAGACACGGAGGTGCGGTTCCCGGCTCGCCGGTGAGCAGGTAAGCTCGCAATATAGGCGCGGTCGGCCACGGCTGCGCCATGTGGCGGGCCAGGAGCCGCAACACTTAAACAGCTGGCAATGTATATGTACAAACAAGGTCTAAGTAGACAGAAACACAATGTGCCTAAAAAATCCAAATAATGTCTGAACCCCTTAGCTCCACACAGACCTAGCATTTATTCTAGCGGCAGGTATAGCTAAAGGTAAAAATCACAGGGAAGAAGCCTCAATAACCATAAACCAAAAAGGCTACTGAAAAGAATCAATCCCTGTTTTACCTCGGCACCGTGGCCTAACCACTAATGCCTACCTGAACCAGTCTCCCTGCCTAAAACGAATAAAAATAAACTAGTGCATACTAAATTAAAGTGCTACCAAGTGAAGTGAAAACAAAAAAAAAGAGAGCTCTTTTTTTTTCCTTATTTTTCCTCTTCAACCTATCTTTCCTGTAAGTTTCTTGTAATTGTCCTATTTATAGTTAAATCCCTTCTTTTAAAATATTGTAAATCGCTACGGAATCTGTTAACGCTATATAAATAACAATAATAATAATAATGTTTGTAACATCAGCCTTTGCCAGTAAGCAGACCTCTATTTTTATTCATTTAACCCCTTACGGACGGCGGGCGCTCTATGCCGTCCTTGCTACTTACCAGGTCCCCGCCGATCAGACGCCGGTGGTCGTGATCCTGGGGTCTGCTCGGGAGCTCAAGCAGGCCCCTTCTCGCTGATCCGGCCCCCCATCCCCCCGGCCATGTGATCGCAGATTCCTCGCGATCAAATGGCCGGAATAGCTGGCTTATGCAGTGCCTGCAAGGGGCCTGCCTGAACTATCAGGCCGTCCCCCTCATGCCTGTAAAAAAAGTTTTTAAAGTTAATAAAAGTTATTAAACAATTTTTAAATTAATTAAAAAGTACTTAGATCATAGAATATATATATACTAAGTACTTTTATATACACATACATCATTAATAAAAGTGTGTTTTAATTATTTATATATATATATATATATATATATATATATACCTATGTGTATAAATATAAAAAATAATCAAATTTTAAAAAATAGTAAATATAAATTTTAAAATTATATACCAGTTTTAACATATATATTAAATTCAAAATACATTTAGAATGATGTTATACATATATGTATCTATTTGTAGAAGTTAAATATATAATTTATTATTTTTATTTGTATATATTCAAATTATACAAATATATTTATATAATATTTTTACATAATTAAGTCATTTTATTAATTACAATCTGAGGGACCTGCCCGACAACCTAGGCAGAAAGTCCAGAGAATTTGTCTCACAAGCCCTGTATTTAACACTGTAACTTTCCAGGACACCATAAAACCTGTAGATGGGGGGTACTGTTTTACTCAGGAGACCTTTAAAAACAGTAAAATGTATCATGATGATGATGATATCATCAGTAAAAATTCAGTTTTTTGCATTTTTCACACACAAACTGTACTTTCTTTGACGATATAATTGTTGTGATACATTTTACTATTTTGAAACACTAATATTTGTGTACAGCGAAGTCTCCCAAGTATAGCAGTACCCCTCATGTACAGGTTTTATGGTGTTTTCAAAAGTTACTGAGTCAGATGCAGGGCTCGAATTTCCTTTTTTTCACATTAAAATTTGCCAGATTGGTTATATTGCCTTTGAGACCATATGGTAGCCCAGGAATGAGAATTACCCCCATGATGGCATACCATTTGCAAAAGTAGACAACCCAAGGGGCATGTCCAGTCTTTTTTTTTTTTAGTAGCCTCTCAGTCACAAACACTGGCCAAAATTAGCGTTCACTTTAGTGTTGCATTTTTCACGCTCAACAAATATGAACACTAACTTTGGCCAGTGTTTGTGACTAAGTGGCTAAGAAAAAAGACTGGACATACCCTATTTGTAATACCTTGGGTTGTCTACTTTTGCAAATGGTATGCCATCATCGGGGTAATTTTTATTGTTTTGCCAGCTTTAAATGAGAAGGCATAAATGACATCTTTTAGATGACATTATTTTTCTTAAATTAGTTTTGCTTTTGTGTTTTCAAGTCCTACACTACTAGTTAGCTGTTAAATGTGGAACCTGATGTAAGCATATATACATATACAATATGCTACTGTAAGCGTCGAGGGGCCATGAGACAGTTGGCGGGGCTGAATTCTTACTCACCAGTACTAAATTGTGAGCACTGTACTACAACATATCAAGTGAGTTTTTGGAGATTGATCATTTGAAATGCCATCAAATATGCCTGTCAACTTTGCTGCAAGATAGCATTTTTCATTTATACAGCAACACTAAAAACTGATTCTTACACAGCTTTTGGAAGCAATTAACCTGCTCTATTTTCCACACTGATCAGTTGCTAGCTACATCACAATTGTTGGGGAGTTCTCTCATTAAAAAGACATATAGGCACAAAGACCACTTTATCTCTCTGTACTGGTCGGGTGCAGTGACTCTTCCTTCTTAAACCTGAAAAAGAGTAGGGACAGGGACACTATAGCATCATGAATGCAAATTTGTATTCCTAATGCTATAGTATTACTTTTAAGAGGTTATAGTGTGTAACTGTTTTTTATACGCTTTTGTTAACAAAATGCTTATCATGTATTTTATTAAAACTTTGGCTTGTCAGGGCCCCTCCAGGGTTCAGGTTTTACCCCTGTGGATTACCATTTTAGCAGAGCTAAAAGTCATTGAACATATGTATATATTCTTACATCAGTTTTAAAGGTCACAAGTTGATGTAACAATGACGAGCACAAGAGAGCCTGGAACCAAGAGTGACATTCTTCTGTTATTAGTTTGGGAAAACCTTTTTTTTCTCAATATATAAACCGTGCAAGTTCATAAAATTCCAAGAGGTTTCTCTCTCAACTTTTTATAGTGCGCAAAATAATTGCTTGTTCAGGTTGTCACCAAGAGCTTTAAGCTGGATGCTGCCAATTTGGTCTTAACTAGAAGTAATTGTACAGGTTTTGTCTTCATTAAACCCACCTCAAGCATCCAGCCTGCATTCCCATCCTCAGCAGATATCATTACGCAGCTAACAAAATGGAAATGCAGAGACAAATGAAAACAAAAAAGGTGTCTATCATAAATGTCAAGTAAATTATATTGAGGTATTTCTCCAAGGCTTGAGGTTGTTAAATAGCTTTGTCTTAATTAAAAAGTTTGTAGCACAACAACATATCTGAAGATTTGATCCACTGTAATGACAATAGATTAATTGTAAATCTAGATTTAGTTGGTATTCCTTATTTCAAATCAAACAAATTGCTAAATATAAATTTAAGTCAGAAATATAGCTTGCAGTATGGAAATCCTGGGTATATTGGTTTCAAAAACAATATGAAAGTATTTAGCATAGAAAAATGATCACTGAAAAGCACATGAAAATATATAAAGTGCATATGTAAGCAACGTGAAATGCATTTCAGTAATATTTAGCAAACCTTGCTTCACTTGAAACCCTATGTTAGATCTCGAAGGGGTAAAATAAATTCCAAAATATAATTTGAGCATCTTAAATTTAATGTCAGTCATTAAACTCTGTCATACACACAAATAATAAAGTTTCACATTTTCCAAAGCTACTTAAGTCGCCTATCTTGGCAAACAAATATGTAAATTCAGTTACACCATATGGCCATATCTTGTTAAGCCCACCACTATACCACAATACACCAATATTGGTGGGTCCTACACTTATTTAACATGCGACATAAACATGCCATCAGCAATACTTACTGCTTAAATTGCTTTCAGAGATTCTCCTCATTTTATACTTTAGTGGTCACCTCCAAAGGGGCACCTATAGTTAAGAATCTCTGGAAGCGGTATAAGCAGTAAGTATTGCAGTATGTTTATCTTCCATGTTAAAAGTAGTGTAGGACCCATCGATACTAGGTCACTGTAATGTAGTGGTAGCCTTGACACGGTACGGCCATTGCTTGTCCTCGCTATGCCTTGCCTGAACTGGATTATAATGCCTAAGTATTTATATAAATTTAAAATAAAATGGAGCATCTCAAGAAAAAAAGGTAAACCTAAATTATCTACTATAGACTGTAAGCTCGTTTGAGTAGGTTCCTCTTCAACCTATCGTTCCTGTAAGTTTAATTGTAATTAACTTCCCCCCTCTAGTAATATTGTAAAGCGCTACGTAATATGTTGGCTCTTATATAAATGGCAATAATAATAATAAATTATAGGTGAAATTCTATCTTTTATTCAACGGTATAAATTCCAGTGAAGTGGCAGTTCCTTTTTAAAGAGCACATTTGTGCGCTCATTAGTTATGGTAGGTGGTGTTTTCAAATTAAATAATAGACCACAGATGTTAACAATAAGGAATGTCATTAAAGTGATACATGCTATTATCACTAATCCCCAAACTTTCAATGTGCCAGCTCGGTGTGGCTGAAATTAGGTTGCGAAAACTGATTTGGCTGAATCAAACACCTTCGCAGCGCAAGGGTTAATCATGTGGTGGCTGGCCACATGAAATAGTAAAAAATAAAAATTAAGCCTAAATTGTTATATGAACCCTAGATTAATACAAGCAAAATTTTATAGCTCCCTGTGCTCTACTACACATACACCAACCAGCCTTAGTGGTGTAAGTACATGCTTGTGAATATTTAAATTACAGGATGGGTGTATGTTTATGTCAACGTTTAATAGAAAAAAGGGCAATTGGGGAATACCCGGAACATGCATTTCTCAGTAGTTGTGCTACCTGAGAGACCAAAATTTTTACGAAATAGAGATTATCAAACCGCGCGCACACACAAAAAAAAGCACATTTCAATAATATTTAGCAAACCTTACTCTACTTGACACAGCATGTGATCTCTATGGGTTAACAGAAAATCAAAAATAGATTTTAAATTTATTAAATTTAAAGTCAGTCATTAAACTCTGACACACACAAATACAGTTTTATATTTTTCAAGGCTACTTAAAATCAGCTACCACAAATGGGGATAATAAAACATATGCAAGTAAAGAGAAGTAGAAACATTGTTCCATTTCTCCTCTTCTCTGTATTGTTTCTCTATGTTGACTGCCAAGTGCAAAGGACAAGGTTTATGAGCATGATTGACAGGGAGCTAAGATGAAGTTGTCAATACACAGGATAAAGAGATGTGGCTGTCTAAATTTTAAAGGATCACTATAGTGTCAGGAAAAAAAAACTGAATTATACAAATTCTATTTAAGTGTCACAAAGATTAAAAATTTTGTTTTTCAGTTTAACTCATGGAAGGCATTGTGTCTCAGGGCTCTTTTGATCACTGAAAACAATCTCAGACACCTGTGATAATTAGATTGCCAGGTGAGCCCAATTTAAGGAAAAACTACTAAAGGAGGGCTTCCCACATTATTAGGCAGAACACCATTTTCATGCAATATGGGGGGAAAAAAGGATCTCTCTGCTGCCAAAAAGAGTGAAATAGTTCAATGCCTTGGATGAGGTATGAAACTTTAGATATTCCACAAAAACTTAAGCGTGATCATCGCACTATTAAGAGATTTGTGGCTGATTCAGAGCACAGACGGTTTCGTGCAGATAAAGGCACATTGAGAAAGATTTCTGCCAGATCCATGCATCGGATCAAGAGAGCAGCTGCTAAAATACCATTACATAGCAACAAACAGATATTTGAAGCTGCTGGTGCCTCTGGAGTCCCACGGACATAAAGTTGTAGATGAAGACTAATTTTCAAACAGTCCTGTTCACTGATGTGTGCCGTGCAACCCTGGATGGAGTAGTGGATGGTTGGTGGACGGCCACCCTGTTCCAACAAGGCTGCGACGTCAGCAAGGCAGTGGTGGAGTCATGTTTTGGGACGGAATCATGGGAAGAGAGCTGGTCGGACCCTTTAGGGTCCACGAAGGTGTAAAGATGACCTCTGCAAAGTATGTGGAGTTTCTGACTGACCACTTTCTTCCCTGGTACAGAAGGAAGAACTATGGTTTCCGTAATAAAATCATCTTCATGCATGACAATGCACCATCTCATGCTGCAAAGAATACCTCTGCATCAATGGCTGCTACGGGGATAAAAGGAGAGAAAGTCATGGTGTGGCCTCCATCCTTTCCTGACCTCAATCCTATTGAGAACCTATGGAGCATCCTCAAGCAAAAGACCTATGAGGGTGGGAGGCAGTTTACATCCAAACAGCAGCTCTGGGAGGCCATTCTGACATCTTGCAAACAAATTCAAGCAGAAAGTGTCCAAAAACTCACAAGTTCAATGAATACAAGACTTGTGAAGCTGATATCAAATAAGGGTCTCCTATGTTAAAATGTAACGTGACCTGTAAAAATGTTTAAAAAGTTAAAATGTTGTTATAAGTTTGATTGAAATAGCTTTTCATTTCAGTAAATATGCTGCAAACACAACAAATGACAATTTTCAGTTCTTTACAACCTAAAAAGTGTTTTGAAACTTACTGTGCGTAATAATTTGGAACAGTGCATTGTAAGTTTTTTTTATGTTTAAAAAAATACTGTTATTAGGAGATTTTTCAATAAAATTTGAATTGTACTCTTAATAGTTGATTACATGAGAATTATGCTGACTGTTAATTACATC